TTACATTTAAAAAGTAAATTTTCAAATTTAAATCAAAAATTACATTATCAATATTTATCTGTTTAAATATATAATTATTATTTTCTATTATTATGAAATGAAAAGTAAAAATAAAATTCAGAAAAATAAAATAGAGAACAAAATGCATTTCCTTATAAAGAATATAACAAGGAAACATAAATGTTGTACATGTCACTAATAGGCTCTAACAGTACAATTACATCTCGAATGTAACAGAATGTCCAGCAAAAGAGTGGCAAAAAAATTGTTAGCGGAGTTTTGCAAATACCCACGACTTAATTACCGATATATATATATGCGAGAGCGGCGGCGGAAATCTAATGATTTTAATAGCCGACAATTCTCTTTAATAATATGCTTTACTAAGAAATCATTAGCGTCAGACTTGATGAGCTGCTATTCAGTGCTTCTACTTTTCATATTATAATTCTAATTCCAACAATGTCTCATTTTAATTTTATCATTTCTTTATTATCTTACACCAAATGTACAGTTGGTGATAAAAAAAATTTTTATATAAGCTATTAAATTAATTTCAAAATATATTGATAGTATTTTGAAGAATTAAGAAAGCACTATATAAAAAATTATATTTATAAAAATAATATAATAGAAGAAAATGTTTTCATTTTATAACTGAATTTTTTTTTTTTTGTTTGGAAAAAAATATTGAAATTCGTTTTGCCTATATAAAAAAAAGATTATTCTGACTGCAAACCACGTTTGAATATAGAAGCTCAAGCTTCGCGTTGCATATCTCTCTGTATTGATGGCTTGGAGTCTGGTGAACCTATAGACGCGTGTGATGCGAATTTTCAATTATGCTGCAGAACTCTGCGAAACAGGGTCAAGCGTCATTGTCTTTTGCCAGTAACGGAGCTATCACAATGTTATTTCACACACGCATTTTGAAATTTTAAAAAAAAATTCTCATTTCATTTTTTTTTTTAAATCGTCAATATTTTTATCTCAACATAACTGATAGGGAAAAAATAAATAATTTTACAATATATATTTGATGGAAAAATTTCTTGTGGGCAATTTTTTTTCCTTTTTTCATCTTCCTGGGGAAAAATTCGAGATCCATCTAGAAAGATATTGTGACAGGACTTTGCGGTCTCGTGTGTAAAATGTACTCCAGAAAGACAACAGCAGGCTAAGCGACCTGCCTTTTAGGGCATCTTCCTATATACTCACATCTCTCTCTCTCTCTTTCTCTCACATCCCCTTCTTCTTTTCTCATCTCATGTGGTTCGCCTCGACAGTCCTGCGACCCCGATCATTCTCAGAACACACCGGCGACATCAAGTTTTTAGCACCTTATCTTGAAATCAGAAAATCTCTTTTTCGAGTTTCATGAATTGCCTTTCACTATTCCGAGGTCATGGTCAATACAATTCAATATAAAAAAAAAACACTATTATTTTCTATAACAGTCATTTATGTGTGTAATTTTGGTTTGGCAAAATTAATGGTTCAACCGTTATTAACTATATACATATATGAGTAATTTACCTCTCGAGAGAGAAGGATAATCTAATCGACACTGGTGAGAATAATCACACTGAAAATTATCGATGATAGTCTTTTCACAATTTTTCTGATTTGTAATTAAAATACAGTTATTGTAGAAAAAAAAAGAAAATTGGAAATAAATAATTATTCAATTAATTGAAAATAGTAAATTTATTGTTTATTACAAATCGAAAAAAGAAGAGAATATGTCATAATTTATCTATAATAAAAAATACAAACTGCCCTACAATGGAAAAACATACGAGAAATTATATATTTTTGTCTCAGAGCCAAATAAATATTGTAAATAAATTTTTATTTAATATAAGTAAAGATTTTATTTAAGCCAAGTAAAATTTTTATTTACTTCAAATAAATGGCATAGTTGGCTCTTGAGACAAATAGACGTTTATTCAACTCAAACAAGAAAAAGGTATTTACCTGAAACAGCGAAATGTTTCACTAGAATAGCGAAAGATTTAACTGAAACAAGTAAAACTTTTCCTACCATAGTGAAACGTTTCGCTGGTCCAGGTAAATCTTTTTTTTCCCTGAATATATTATCTCGTGTAGAAATTTTGACAGAGCCCAAATCGGGGCCAAATTAGGCTGCCCTATTAGGGAATGAAACGTTGCGCCTGATGTGGCCCTGATTAGGAAATACGTTTTGGCCCTGATCAGGTGTGGCGTTTCATTCCAACAGATACAATTATTTTCCAAATCTTCAAATACAATGTTACAAATATTAAAGTACATTTATACATACACATATATATAAATACGTATATATATATATATAATAACAGATAATGATAAAAAAGGCATAATGATGTAAAAGAATGTTTTTAATGATTGAGTATAAAATTGGCAAAAATTGTGGAAGGAGGAAAAGAAATTCAGGAAATCAGAAGCAATGTGTCGAGATGAGTAATTGCGGATCGTGAGGCAACTAATGACACAGGTGGATAAAATGCCAACAAGCCAAACTCTGGCAAGTGCTTCCAGAATCGGGAGAGAGAGAGAGATACAGAAAATAAGGGGAAAAAAATCTGTCATCCATTAGAGGGACCAACAATCAAAAATAATATATTATTATAATAATATCTTATTTTTAACTAATATCGATAATTGATATAATTTTTAAAAAATTAATCTAATTAATAAGGAATATTTCTTCTCGAATTGCTATGGAATGATATTTGAAAAACATCATATATTTTATTTATTGGAAATAGTGTTTATGACTTAGATTCATATATTGCTGGTTCTCACGGCGTATCATTCGAGATCTTACATTCATCTTTTGCGCTTGTATAGCACACAAGAACATGCAAGTTAAATCTGCATAAATATTAATCATAACGATATTTATATTGCCGATGAATTTTCAGATAATTAAGTTGTTGAAACGAATTTATTTCTCTATTTAAATTATTTATTTAGAAAAGATAATTAAGGTTCATAAAAATATCTAAATAATAGTTAGAAAAATTTCATCCCATGAAAATGTAGGTAAGAGGTCATAAACACAAGGCTCGAGAGAGTCAAGAAGATGAGCACGAGTTAAGAAAAACGGTTTGGCATACTGTACCAACCTCAAAATCATGTATAACATTTTCAAAGACTACATATGCAAATAGCTAGTTACAGTTAATGGATAGTTTGGAATTTTCTTTGGAAAAATAGAGTAACTTTATCTCTCTCATCACCTTGAGCGTAAATAATCAGAAATTCAAAACAAAATTATATCTACGGAAGAAATTTCCTCTTTGGAGCGCGGAAGAAAAAAAGAGGTGTACATAAAATAAAGGACAGTATTCAAAAATTGGTTAAAAAAAAAATGGTCCCTCTCTTTTATTCACTTTGACTTGTAAAATAAACTACTGGCACGTGATTGCCATCGCTACTAAATCCATCGTCTGATCCGTGCGACCATGACTCTACAGAATTCATGGGTATATATGTGAAACATTTACCGGCAGTTTGCATTCACGTCCTGCTCACGTCGGAAAAATTGTGTCTCTCTTGAGTGATAAAGGTCCACTTTAACCGAAAAACGTGAGAAAGCGCATCATTTATTTTCGTGCACGCGAGATTAATTTTTTTCTTTTTCCAGTGAAACACTGTAAAGATAGTGTTCAGAACACATAATTATAGTGTTTTAATGACATTCGTACATAATGAAAGTTTAGTACTTTTGTATAGCTTCCACGAATGTTTTGCAGCAGATTTTGATGCAGATTTTGATGCAGATTTCGATGCAGATTTCGATGCAGATTTTGATGTAGATTTTGTTAGCAGATTTAGAAGCAGATTTTAATGCAGATTTTAATGTAGATTTGGTTAACAGATGTAGAGAAGCAGATTTGGATCCAGATTTTATTGTAGATTTGTTTAGCAGATTTAGAAGCAGATTTGGTAGCAGATTTTAATGTAGATTTGGTTAGCAGATTTAGAAGCAGATTTGGTAGCAGATTTTCTTCTATACTAATTTTAGCATTTGGTCGAATTAAATTACTTATAATGCTGGCATTACTTTTGGTATAGCACAAGATTAGGATCTGCTTTAGTAGAACTGGCAAACAGTTCTACCATAATTTTGATTTTTCGGTATAATTGTTGTCTTTTCTGTTTCTGTAGATATTTTCTTATATCATAATACCTTTGATAGTCGAATATATTTTTCGAGCACCTTGGTATCTTTTTATTTTTGGTATCCTAATATCGTACAATTGGTATTCGAATACTTGAGGGCTTTCCATATTTTTGGTATCAGAACATTGGTAATCTGCACTTTCAGAATCAGATTTAATTTTTTTGTACAATCGTTGTACTTTCTGCTTCTTTGGTTTCAGATTGCTTCTAGTAATTCCTCATATCTTTAGTAGCACAATTATTAACTTTCATTTATCATTCTATGGTTGTTATCCTATTTTCAAATTTCTTTTCTCTTAGTGCTCTTTGATTGCTTCTGTATTATTTTTCACATCCGAATTTGTTTTCCGTAGCATATGTTCGGATTTTCCAATACCATCAGCTTATCAAAAATCAGAATCAACAATCAGTTGCAATCAGATTCAGCATTGGATTTTCCAATACCAAAAATCAGTACCAGTTAAAATCAGAATCAGATTCAGCATCAAACCGAAAGTGATACCAGCAAGAAAGATCATCAAAGTGCCATCACCATCCAAAAGAAACATGCTGCAGAATCAGAAAGAGATTAAAGCCTGCCCTCTAAAGAGGAATATAATAATATGAAAGAAATAGAAGGATGATCATAAGAGAGAGAGAGAAAGAATGAAAGAAAGAATAAGAACAAGAGAAGGTTGGGAATGATCGGTTAGGGATAAAGAAAGAGAAGGACAGAGGGGAAGAGAATCGCATTTCGGTAAATGTGTCGAAGCGAGCGGCTCTCTTGGTGTCGTTGCCCTCTTCGGTTTACTCGTGCTTGCCTTTGCTCGCTGGCTGACTGCCTACCACTTGGCTGTTACTGCTGCTGCTTTGGTGCTTCAAGCTATATCCTGTCCCCTCCGCTTGTACCACGAGCCATCCTCTCTTCAATTCCCTCTCCCCTTTTGTAGAAGCACCTGTCGCTACACACACGGCGACTTTAACGTTAGGGGCTCACCAGAGGTAACTAGACGGGTTATCAGTCGGCGCAACATCTTCGTCGCGACGGGACATAGAAAGAAAGAGAAAAAGAAAGAGAGAGAGAGAGCGATCTGATCCCCCTCAACGTAAAAAAGGGGGTAGTTAATTTTCACCCTTAGAAAATTTTTATAATCATTAAAAAAAATTTTTTTTTCAATATCAAAAAATTTTATTATTGTTCGGTGACAGTGGTGGGAACATGTGATTTCGTGGGTCAATTGCAATAAACGAACAATGTGAATTGTGTTTGAAGGTATCTTATCTCGGTGATTCTTATCGGAGACTGTGTCTTTTACCTCTATCCGTTAACTTGCTCTCTAGAGGTGAATTGTCCTGGACCAAACGAACAAAAAGGGGGGTAAACACTGGGAGGCAGTCGGGATGCGTTACACGGAGCCGCTTAGCTCCAGGTAACACGTGGCGACTTCACGCCTTCCGCACTCACCAGGTAAGATACAAACACACCATCGCAACGTAATAATGACGTTAGGGGAAAAAAATTACAGTAAACAAATAATGTTACCACAAAAAAAAAACAAACAATTTCTCAACATTGAGGAAACAATTTTGTTGGAAATATTTTTTGAGAAACATTTTTCTTGGATCAACAAAATTTAGTTTCACATTTTTTTTTCTTTTTTTAAATAAATTTCGTCTATATAATAAACAGAATTAGTGTTACTCGGAATGAAAAATCATTTGTTTGGTTCGTTTCGTAGTACACACTGAAAAAAAAAATTTCGAAGCAATAAAATTTGTCGCAAATATTAAAAATTTTGTTCACACAAATATATTTCTCTCTATTAATAAAAAAATCTTCAATGATCTTGACTATAAATAATAGAAAAACAGTTAAACAAATTTTGTTTTTTCGTTAGAATAAAATTGAGATTTTCCAAAACAATACTCATCACTAAAAATAGAGAATTCTCAGAAAAATCATCCGTTAGATTTTTATTGTCCAGTTTGGTAGATTTTTATTTTTTTTCACCGACTTTTGTTTCTTGTTTATTGATCAATTTCCTCCAAAAAAAAAAATTTAGAAAATTACATTATTTCTCTCATAAAAAAATCCCGCTTGCTTTTATTTTACGAACAGCTGATTCTGAATGTATTTGAACGAAGATCATTTACAAATATAAAAATTTTGAAAGAATATATTTTTTTTTAAATATATATTAAATCGAAGAAAATAATTATTTATGAGTCAGTGAGAAAATGAAGAGATTATAAAAAGTCGGAAACTATCAATTAGATTCTTGTACATCAATTAAGTTATTGATACGATAGCAATTAATCATGTGGGGATTTACTTTAAAATCTCAATTATTTATCATCGTGGATTTTATGAATATTGACAGTATCATTAAGTTGTGTCAATCATCATATTTAATTTTATATTTAAATCGACAATTTAAAAAAAACGAGTATTAGAAAAATTTTACTTTTTTTAACAATAGTATAAATAAATTAAATGATTTATTAATTTAAAATATTTTTCTTTGAAGATAATTTTATTAAATGATTGATTTAGAGAAAAATTAATGAAATTATTTTAAGTAGAACAGTTGGAGATAATAATAATAATTCACGTAACAGCCCTATAATTAAGTCAACATTGTAAGTCAAGGGGTTCCGCTAGAGAGTGTTAGTTATAGTCAAGTAAATAACTAAGTTAATGTATATATAAATAATTCTTCTTGACACTCAAAAAGAATTGTGTACGTTGCTAATTGATGCCGTTATATGATCACTCTTTTACAAGTAAATTACTAATCCACAAAACGATATTAAAAAATTACAAACATTTATTCCAGTCATTATTTCCTTATTTTCTGAATTAATTATTGCATTAAGATGAATACAAGATTGTAAGTATTATATATATATATACTTTCTTGCATCTTTTTTTTTACTAATTCATCTTAATACAAATTAGAAACATAAATAAATAAATTATTATTTATTATAATTAATATTTATTAATTAGTTTTAATAATTATAATAAAAATTCGAATATGAAAGTAAATGAGTTGAAGAATGTGTAAACTAGATTATATGACGAAAGATAAGGGAGATGAATATAAGATCTGTGTTTCTGAGGATGTAACTTTATGACAACAATCTCACTAGGATTTAATATCTAATTGCACAGTATCGTAAAATTTACTATATTAATATGAAAACACTTAATCATTAAATATAATGTTAAACTATTTCCATTACTGACAGTTCATTAATTATTTTGCAAAAATTTATATTTTTAATTGACAATTATTATTTAATTATTTAAAGAGTACTTCATTATTTTAATTGTTCTTAATTAATTGATTCTAATTAAAATAATAATTTATTGGTTTACAATATTTACCATTCATTTCATCAACTTTACGAAACATTTTTTATTTTATTTTTATCTAATATTATCATCATATAGTATTATTATTTCAAAATTTTCATATTGATTTTTTAGCAATAATTGAATTAGAAATTTTTTTAAAATTTTCACAAAAAGTACAAATAAAGCAAATGGATTATTAAATGTAAAACAAATTTTCTAAAAATTATTTTCAAGTTGATGATTTTTTGAAAAAAAAAAGAAGAAGAATCTTTACTGTGACTAACGAATGTAATTTTAAGTTTAAAATTGAACTTGAAATCCCCACCTTGAAGCAAAATAACTTTTCCCTGTCGTTTCTCACGCCCCAGCGAAATTCAGAGTAACCACGACTGGTTTTTGAGGTAACGGCGGAAGATTGGGCATTCTTGTTTACTTGCAAGAAGTAGGAACACGTTTCCTTTCTCCAAGCTCCTTTAATTCCCTATGCCACCATGCGGCTAACCGCTGCGATCATCTGTGTACTATCTCACACTATAAGATTCAATTTTGATTTAGATCTACTTATCTTTTTTTTTCCCGTATATTTTTATTATTTTTGAAATTTCTTTTTGTGAAATTTTGTTTTATATTTTTACCTTTCTATGCTTTTTTCTAATAGTACAAAAATAAATTGGCTTTAAATTAAAATTTATTTATTATACAATAAATAATAAATAAATAATTATTTTTACTGTGTTAATTATTAATTGTCCATAAGTTTTTAGTATTAATAATTAAATTATTTTAATTATTAATAATAATTTATTTATTTAATAATGAAATTAATTTAATTATTAATAGGTACTAAAAAACTTAGTACAAATTTTGTTTTAATTAAAAAAAATTTAACTGCTGTTAAATTTGACAATTACTTTATTGAGAAATGATAAAAATTCATTATTGTTTTTTTTTCTTTTTTAAATTCCAGTTACCTATGTGGAATGTGAATTGGTATTTTTTTGAATAGGGACAAGATCATCTCTTTGGGGAAGTATGTACCGAGAGCGGCAAAAGATGTAAGTTGGCAGAGGCATGGTTTTAAATCAAGTGGGGAGGGAATGTGGTCGGTCGGCAGGCCTCACCAAAAATTTTCGTGCCGGTCTTTCCTCTCAAGACCTCCACGTGCTATAGGGGCCCACCTCTCGTTTCGATGGGACTCTCTTTTATCGAGTTGTTTCAGCTCTTCTCTTTCATCCGCAAAGAGCAATTGCTCTCGTCTCATCTCTCGTTCTCTCCCACGGCAAAATATATATATATATATAAAAGTGATCAACTAACTCCTTCAAGAAGTGTTCTCTTTCTCTCTCGCTACATTCCTGGTAGCGGTTTTCGATGAGAACGCACTTTGGTGAAGCGCGTCACTTGTCTGTCGTTTGCTGTCTTACTGTCTCACTGTTGGCAATGCCAGTGTCAGTGAACAGTGACAGTGCCACTGGCAGAACCCCCACGTGACCTCTAATCGTTCCAATCGAGAACTCTCCTCTCCCCATATGTATTATATTGCCTATAAAACCGCTATATATAAAGAAAAGCGTCTACCTATTCGTTTCATGAAAAACAAACTCTTCTTGGAATTGATCATTCCACACGTTCCACGTACGTTATTTACTTATATATACAACCGGATTGTACGGGACTTTCTCAAAAATTTATTTACACTGTTAGAAATTTTTTTTTTTTACATTTTTTATTATAATTTTAGTCACACAAAAAAGAATTGATTTTGTTCCTTCTTTATTTGAAAGGACAACTTCTGTTTCGTGGCTAATCTTAGCAACCGTTGCTAAGAAAAAAAAATTCTTAGCTACCAATGTATTTTTGGTACCAAGGTATTTTTGGTACCAAAGTATTCTTGGTACCAAAGAATTTTTGGCACTAAAGTATTCTTGCTACCAAAGAATTTTTGGCACTAAAGTATTTTTGGTACTACAGAGATTTACTTATTTATTTCGATACCAAAGTATTTTTGCTACCAAAGTATTTTTGCTACCAAAGTATTTTTGGTACCAAAGTATTTTTGGTACCAAAGTATTTTTGGTACAAAAGTATTTTTGGTACCAAAGTATTTTTGGTACCAAAGTATTTTTGGTACCAAAGTATTTTTGGTACCAAAGTATTTTTGGTGCCAAAGTATTTTTGCTACCAAAGTATTTTTGGAACCAAAGTATTTTTGGTACTAAAGTATTTTTGGTACCACAGAGATTTATTTATTTATTTCGATACCAAAGTATTTTTGGTACAAAAGTATTTTTGGTACCAAAGTATTTTTGGTACCAAAGTATTTTCGATACCAAAGTATTTTTGCTACCAAAGTATTTTTGGAACCAAAGTATTTTTGGTACTAAAGTATTTTTGGTACCACAGAGATTTATTTATTTATTTCGATACCAAAGTATTTTTGCTACCAAAGTATTTTTGCTACCAAATATTTTTGGTGCCAAAGTATTTTTGCTACCAAATATTTTTGCTACCAAAGTATTTTTGGTACCGTCGCTAAGGAAAAAATCCGTAGCAACCGTTGCTAAGAAAAAAAAATCCTTAGCAATCTTTCTCTTCATTTGAAAAATTCTTCTGTTTTTAAAAATTGCCAACATTCGAGGAAAAGAAAAAAAAAACACTTTATAATTTATAATGATTTATAATATTTATAAAACGATAGCAGGATCAAAATCTCATTAACTTTTTTTTCTCTCAAGTGCAGGATGATTCATTAATGATCAAAACTTATATTCAGTGTATAATTCTATACTTTACTGTTTTTCTAGACTCAGATGAGACTTTTTGTCCCCCCCCCCCCGCCCCCCAAAAAAAGCGAGAGACGATATAAATTTTATTCCTAATAAGTCAAGATGAGATGGAATACTAATTGGTGGGTTAAATAATTTTTCTTCTCTCTCCGGATTACGTCAATGTCTTAAAAGTTAATAACCCGAAGACTCATCTCTAATTCTTCATACATTTTTTTGACATTAAATTTTTTTTCAATAGAAACAATCTAGATAAATTTTTTTTTTACTTATAAATATTTTCTGATAAATTCTTTTAGTAATAATATAAATTTCTTTTTAAAAAATTTGATAAAATTACGAATTAGCAAAAAGAAGAAATAATAACCCCTAATGATATACACTTGCGACTTCCTTATTTGGAATGTTTATTGCCAACACTCCAAGAAAGTATAATACATAAACCGAAATGCAAATTGCAAACTCTTATCTTTAGCTTGTTAGAAAAGGTTAAAAACTATTCTATACAGTTTAAATTACAGGTTAAAGAGTATTATGTTACTCATTATACTAACACTTTAAGTAATACACTGTTCACACTGTGTGTTCTCTGGTTAGTAGCTCTCTCTCTCTTTTTCTCTCTTTTGCTCTCTCTCTCTCTCTCTCTCTCTCTTTTCTGTAGTGGCATCGAGGTAGCAATAAATTACAGTAAGAGGAGTCATTTGACACTCTTGATATTAATTACAGACAAACCGTGTATCCGTTGAATAATAAACGCTTCACTAATCATACACAATCTTACCTCCAGCGCGTGAGGCTCAAAAAAAAGAGCTTTAGTCATTCATCATGAATTTTTCGCACGTACACATTTCAATATTTGCCTCCTTCTCCTCCTCCCCCACCTCATTGAAATTTGCCGTTGGGACCACAACATGGGCGTTTTATTCACTATTAAATAGTTAACATTATTTTGATTTACACATTGTGCCTTCGGCTTGTTTTATATATATACTTTTGTATAAAGCATATGTAGAAGCATTTATACAAAATATATATGTATACATATATGAACTTGTCTCGTGTGGGTGGACATTCATAAAATACATTTAACTCTCTAATACCAAAAGAAAACCTTTTTTTTTCTAATTTTCCGTTACAAATTTATCTTTTCTGTTAAAATGGAATGCAGATACTTTCCATCATTCTGATTATCTCATCGAAAAAGGTTATTTTTATGGAGGTAAAAATATTTATTTGAAAAATATTTTATTTTTAGGAAAATAGTTACATTGAATTTCAATTAGCGATTTTCGAAATATTTGAATTTATCTTCTAGTGACTAATTTTTAGAAATTGGTATGGTATTTTATCGATTTTTCTTTTCAAGTTTCAATAATTTGTTATTTTGGATTTTATATTTATGGCTTCAATTCTTTGGTGTGATTTACAAAATTACGATCTTTTGCTACCATTGTTTGAAATAATTTTATTACATTTTTTTCCCTTAAAATCTGGTTTTGGTACCACTACTTTCAAAATTATAATTCTCTAGTACCAGTTAAATTAATGTAGTACAATATTTTACTCCAATATTTTTGTATCAGATGATATTTTGAAATCTTTGGTACCACTGCTTTTGGTACCATTAATTTTTGTACCACTGTTTTTGGTACCACTGCTTTTGGTACCACTGCTTTTGGTACCACTACTTTTGGTACCACTGTTTTTGGTACCACTAATTTTGGTACCACTACTTTTGGTACCACTACTTTTGGTACCACTAATTTTTGTACCACTACTTTTGGTGACACTGCTTTTGGTACCACTGCTTTTTATTTTGAAAACTTTGGTACCACTGCTTTTGGTACCAGTGTTTTTGGTATTACAATTCCTTGGTATCACTGTAATTAATATATATATTGGTACCACTGTGAGTTCTAATAATTATTAACTGTAAATATAACCTGGTACCAAAACCTAATACCAAAAAATTGTAATATCAAAAATGGTATTTATCAATACCACAATTCTTTGGTACTATTGTAACTTTGATAACATCAAAATTTAATCTCTCTGCTTTGAATACCAAAATAATTTTTATAAATTTTACCAAATCATTAATAACACAACTTGTACCAGTTACGATCAAAAAATCTACCTTCTTGAATTCGAATACTTTTTTCCTTAATTTTTGGCACCATAATTTTTAGTATTACAATTTACAATCGAAGCATTCTGTATTATTTTTCTACCACATTTTCCTGATCAAAAAGAATATTATCTCGAACCAATATAAACCGTACGCAAAACAAGTTGTCAATTCAAAATAAAAAAGATAAGATAACATTTATATTCGTGACCCTTTTTGTTTAAGTACACTTTGGAGCAAAAAAAAAAAAAGAAAATCGAAACCTTCTTATTCTAGCTCTTAATTGCAAAATAGGTTCCACTGTACGGTACTTAATCAATTATGCATCGCTTTGTAAGAAGCTCATGGTGGTTACATCCGTTTGTAAACTACAAACCGGTATTATATATCTTATCTTCTATACAACAATGCAAACGGACAATTTTTTCTTTTCTTCCAAGATGAATGCAAAAGCAATTGTTTCAATTTTGGTTGAAAAAAAATATTGTACCATTAATTGAACTCTATATTCTTGTAAATTCTCTATTTTAAAATCTAAAACATTTGCTCCATTTGATATTAAAAAAAAAACAGCAAATAAGATTGCATGTTCCCATTTATATCGATTCAGTAAACTAGCAAATGTCCACATATAAATACACCTTGGCGCGTGCACGTTTCCATAAGAACATAAATCTCATATTTGCCTTAGGAAATGTACTATATAACTTTAACTTTGTGTAACGGAGTTTATATTTAATATAGCTGCGTGTTATTTCAAGTAAATTTTATTGTCTTTCACACCACCTTATTCCGCTAATGAATAAACATTAATGTTCATTTATTGACTTTCTTATATACATTTGTAGAGATAGTGAAATATAAACTGCTTAACAAGATTGTAAATTTCTTGAAACATAAAATTCTTTTTTTTTCCTTCTTTTTTTCTGAACGACATGTATTTCACACATTTAGTAAATTATTATTATAAGATTTCTTTGCACAAAAATTCCTTTTTTTATTTTACTCGAATTTTTATTATTCACAAAAGGAGGAAATAAGTGACTATTTGCTGAACTGACATTTACTGTATTGACTTTGTCTAGACGTATTAATGAATCGACACGCGAACGTTGACTTACATGTGCGCTAAAGCGCTTAGTTTACTCACCATTTTTCCAAGTAACTGATCACTGAAAGAAGGTACGTGTGCTACTTATTAAAGTTTCCTTCTTTCTTTCTTTTTATTTTTTTTCTTTTTACTTTTTTTTTTGCATACAGTACAACAGCAGCTTTGTCAATTTGCATCGAAATGCCCACCGCGGTAGATTCCCCACAAAAGCTACTAACGGTTTTACAAAACCATGTGTCATTTCTTTTTTTTTTTTTTTTGTATTTTGCCTCTAGTAAAATATTCACAGTTCTTGAACACTATTGGCTATAATCTTGCAAAGGAATTTAAACTCATCAGATTACAAAATCTGTCTAGAATATATTAACATTTCTCATCGTCTCGAAAATCATTTAACGTCTCGAGGGAACATGTAGCGTTGTCCAAAAAATTACGTAAAACATTAAGACAATTTAAATACATAAAGAATCTCCATTTCAAGGCTTGAGTCATTTTTTTTTTAAAATGTATTTTATTATCCTTCATTAGAGATACGATTCAAGTTTATATTTTTAACATTATTATACTTTAGATATTTTAACTTTTGGTACCAAAAATACTTTGATAGCAAAAATACTTTGGTACCAAAAACACTTTAGTACCAAAAATACTATAGCACCGTAAATACTGTGGTACCAAAAATACTTTGGTACCAAAAATACTGTGGTACCAAAAATATGGTGGTACCAAAAATACTTTGGTAGCAAGAATACTGTAGTACCAAAAATACTATGGTACCGAAAATACTGTGGTACCAAAAATACTGTGGTACCAAAAATATGGTGGTACCAAAAATACTATGGTACCGAAAATACTGTGGTACCAAAAATACTGTGGTACCAAAAATATGGTGGTACCAAAAATACTTTGGTAGCAAAAATACTTTGGTACCAAAAACACTTTAGTACCAAAAATACTTTAGTATCAAAAATACTTTGGTAGCAAAAATACTGTGATACCAAAAATACTTTGGTACCAAAAATACTATAGCACCGTAAATACTGTGGTACCAAAAATACTTTGGTACCAAAAATACTGTGGTACCAAAAATATGGTGGTACCAAAAATACTTTGGTAGCAAGAATACTGTAGTACCAAAAATACTATGGTACCGAAAATACTGTGGTACCAAAAATACTGTGGTACCAAAAATATGGTGGTACCAAAAATACTTTGGTAGCAAAAATACTTTGGTAGCAAGAATACTGTAGTACCAAAAATACTATGGTACCGAAAATACTGTGGTACCAAAAATACTGTGGAACCAAAAATACTTTGGTATCGAAATAAATTCTCTACAGAAACTCTGTGGTACCAAAAATACTTTAGTATTTTCTTCTTTTTCTTCTTTTTTGTCATTTGAAATGACTAAATTTCTAAAATGATAATTTCATTTACCTGTGAAAAATCAGTGAAAAAAAATATATTGCAAAGCCTCAACAATGATGAGTAAATTGTAATTTGTGGTAAAGTAACTACAGGTGTGTGTCCAGTGTTAAGAGGCTCGCGCGGGGTTACTACATCGTTTACTATAATGACTTGCCGGGATGTGAAAACCGGTATATGGCCATAGATCCGTGCCATTATCCATTATCTGCACTGCCATTACATTCATTTGACACGCTACTCGCACATACTTATGTATATATATATAATACGAATAACACAATTCTTCGAGGGTTTCTCCTTCTTCTTATTCTTTTCTTCAACTGATATATACCGTTGATCACTCTACCCCCTTTGGCTTCATATTCCTCAAGTTAGAAATATTTTAATCAGAGATATAATCCATTCAATTCTTGGTAATACATAATGGCTATAAAATAAAAAGCTCAATTAACAGACACATGAGTATTTAGCGTTACGTTTTAATTTTAAATTATAATTTTTTTTTTTCAATTGTCCTTTTACAAAAAACCGATACGCTTCCATTATTTCAAATTCTAAACACACAAATCGCTCATGTGAAATAATTTAAATAATGAATAAAAATAATTAACTCGAATATATAGTTCCCTTATTATTTTTAATTACTTTTCAGTAAATTATTATCAAAAAATTAGATTTCCTAAGAATTTAAATTTTTATTTTATCCTAGAAGATAAAAAAAGACGAATATCAAAATACAAATTTTGGAAAATTTACACGAAATACAAAAAGTAGAACACTTTTTTTTAATGTGAAAGGTTTTAAACAAAAAATAGAAAAAGTGAATAAAAATAGTCGATTATGAGGTGGGGAAATAGAAGTGAATGATTGTCATTAAATAATCAATTATAGGAAGATGCTTGAAATCGTAGGTTGAATCTGAGAATCAGGAAAGTAAAAACGATTTAAGAAATGCGCATAAAAGGAGGTTGAAAGACTTTAGTTGTAACGGGTGTCCATGCCGTAATTACGTCGGCCTTTTGCAGACCGTGACTCGTTAGTTGCGCGCCAAGCGAACCTTCCATTCATGATAGTTCGGTATCACATTCGCATTCACGCGCACCTCCTACTCTGCTATATACTGTACAACACTACGAAACAACTCTTCTTCCCGCTACCACGCATCATTCTTCCAATTCAATCAGATTTCCAAACTGTTATAATAATTATTATACTTAATTTTTTTGAGAAAAAAAAATTTGATACTACAGAATTTTGGTACTAAAGTACTTTAATACTAAAGTATTTTTTATATTAAAGAATTCTTGTGTTAAAGTACTTCAATACTAAAGTATTTTGGTACTAAATTACTTTCACACTATATAATTTTAGTCATGAAGTACTTCGATACTAAAAGTATTTTGATAATAAAGAGCTTTTGTACTAAAGTACTTCGATACAAAAAGTATTTTTGTACTAAGGTACTTCCATACTAAAAGTATTTTTGTACTAAGGTACTTCCATACTAAAAGTATTTTTGTACTAAGGTACTTCCATACTAAAAGTATTTTTGTACTAAAGTGCTTCGATACTAAAAGTATTTTTGTACTAAAGTACTTCGATACTAAAAGTATTTTTGTACTAAAGTACTTCGATACTAAAAGAATTATTGTACTAAGGTACTTCGATACTAAAAGTATTTTTGTACTAAGGTACTTCCATACGAAAAGTATTTTTCTACTAAATTACTTCGATACTAAAAGTATTTTGATTCTAAAGTATTTCGATTTTGGTACTAAAGTACTTCAGTGCTAAACAATTTTTGACAATAAATACTTCAGTACTAAAGTATTTTTTTGTAATACAAAATTTTAGTACTAAAGTACCTAACTACTGAAATATTTTTGATCCTAAAGATTCTTGGTATTAAGCTACTTTATTACTAAAATATTTTCATTCAATTAACACTTTAGTAACAAAAAAAAAATATTATTCCAATGAATTGATAAAAATTGTGTTTCACTTTAATAGAAGTTGTTAAAAAATATTTTTCTTAAAAGAAAATTTGCTTTAGTGACATTATTATGGCATGTCACGTACAATTTTATAGTGAAAACTAATGTTAAATTTTATTATCTGTAATAGCTCCTTTAAAATCCTTTTCATAGCATGTTTCTTTTTTTTCATTGTTTTCCACGTTTCTCGTTACACGTTTTACGTTCTCTTGTTCCGTATATACATATATATATATATACTTTACATGGTTTTATTGTACTCCGCCAAACTCTCATTTTACCACTTAAATTAAATGTTATTCATCCTTCAGCGGGCACCACGGGTCCCACACACACAACATATATTACGGAATAGAGAAGTCATATAAAACTCCACTCTAGAAACCAGTTTTCAGAAGTTGTTAACATGATTTACAATTTGCAAAAAAAAAACCCACACACACACACGTTAATAATATTTTAAAAGTCTATAATATTCGCGTGGGAAATGTATGCGTACTTATCGAAAAAAAAAACAAT